TATAATTACGGTATAAATTTAATTTAATGCTGGCATTGGTCATGACTAAATGCAAAACAATACATTCAATAATTATTTAGCATTATGTGTTATATTATTATTGGTTACTCAAGCAATAAAAAAATACTAAAAAATTTACACATAAACGTCATCTATAATCGAAGACACACATTTTAATATACATCATGACAAAAATATTATTTTATTTTTAATACGCGTTTGTTGACGCGGTCGTGGTAATTGATATAATTACATGATAAATGTGCAGTTAAAAACAATCTTTAATCAACTTCTATTTCATGATGAATGGTATCAGTTTTAAAATCTATGATATAGTCAATTATCGATATTGACAAGAGGGGTTCATGTAATTTGCCCGACAACAATTTACCCGACAACCATTTTCCAACAATATTTTTGAAAATATTATTGGGAAAATAGTTGTCGGGCAAATGACATAAACCCATATATATATATATATATGTATCTATATAATAAACTAATATAAAATAATAAAATAATTTTAGGATTCTCTATATTTTTTCATGACTTTCAATCTCTCAGAAATCAAAGCCATATGTTATTCAAACATTATCTACACTTGTTATATATCTTAACAAATAATGCAATGTTTTTTATGGTTAAAATATTCTTCACCACCTTCCATTAGTAAATATTTAACACCAATATCTGATTTATCAAATTTCGGTTCTTCTAAAGAAACTAATAAAAAACTAGCTTTTATGGAAATACTTTTAAATTTTCCTGTTATATTCGAAGCTCCATTTTCACTTATTTTATTTCTTCCTGTAAACTTAACCATCGGTGCTCGTTTTTTATTTTTAGGTAAAAGTGGTGCATACCACCATCCTTTAGTAGATTCACATGTATCTAGGCCTACAGGAGTTAATAATCTGCCGTTTGTAACAAAACTTGCTTTGCTGTACGGTTGATTCGTTTTAGTGTCATATATATAAATTCTCGCTTCTTGTTCTTCAGAATTAATACCCCAACAAAAATATTGTATGGGATCGTTTATTAATCTTTGATGCCAAACACCACCATGACAAAGTCTTAAACCTTCAAATTTTGATTTGTTAGGACCAATTGTTCCTTTTGGTTGTGTTGAATCAACTGAGAAAATTGAAGTGAGTGTTTTATTATTTAAACTTTCGAATGCAAAATCGAATGCATATCGAGTTTGTTCTAATTCGAGTAAATCATGGCGCGAAATGAATACCTAGAAAAAAAAAGACCGATTAATTTAACTCGTCTCTGTGTTACTACTCTAAATAAAAATGAAATTAAAAATGTTATTATACCAATAGGCGTTTGTTTTGATTTGAGAATGCCTTATGAAATCGTTCTACGATAATTTCTTTTATCCCTTGATCAAAATATCGAGAAAGGATCATGTACCTGCATAGATTACGGGTTGATAAATGGGAGAAAACTTCAAGCACAAGCTTGTGAGGTAATAAAGTTGGCTTTTTCATATTTTAATTATTATATATTAGTTATTATAGTTAAAAAATTTTTTTATCAAAAAGAATGAACGAATGGATAAATCAATTATCAAGGAAACTTTAACTAGCCTCTAGGGCTTGTATTTATATTGAACAGAGACATGTTTTCTAAATTTCCGACTTCGTCTAATTCCGATGTAATTATATAAAAATAGAACAGTCAACCCGCTTATTTTCGATATATGGAACTCAAGGAAAAGTCTAAAACTGGATAATAATCTAAATTTAATTAATATCATGTGATTAAAATCACCTTATTGCGGAATAAAAATTAACGGATAAAACTAATTTAGATTTACATCGCCTTTTCTATAAATAATAACCGAACATTGTCTTTGTAGTTTAATAACGTTTAAACTATTATACATATATTATACATATCATTTGCAGGTATATCGATATATATATATAGAGTAATTCATTTCCTCAAAGATATATGCGGTTTTACCGTTACTATCTCTTTTTTTTATATATATATAAATTTACTATATAGAAAAGAAACTACATGAATCTACATGAACATATATGACCCTGTATAACCTTACATAATATCTCACATTTTATAGATTTGATCACAGGATCGCGAGTAGTGAAGCAGTAGAAACTCAAAGCACCGGGATATGCCGAATCGTAACTGTTATAACTTGTTATAACTTTTATTTTAAGTTACGGTATTTGGTAACATTCGTATATGTCGTTTGTTGCGATATATAAATACTTTATGTGCCGTAACTGACAACGTATATATACATCTGTACTAAATAGATCGAGTTACATTATAGCCTATAATTCGATCTAAAGTGTCCGGAATTCTGCGGTGCTCATGCTAAAAATACTTTTTTACATTGTGTAATTAAAGTTAGGTTTATTTTGCGGAGCCAGTAGGAAATATTTTTAGAGTGGGACCGCAACACTCTAGTTATAACAATTACCGAAATTAAGCACTCTTTGTTGTTATAAAGACGCTTAAATTTGGATTTTCTTTGTGATAATTTACATAAAACTAGGTAGGAATTATTAAAATATCATTCGTTATGTTCCTTCTTTAAATTAGAGTCTCAATCCTTTTTTCATAGGAAGACTTTCGTGTGATGGGTTGGTGTAAATCAATTGTCCGGGTAACTTATTTATACAGTTTAACGTATTTTTTAAAAACGTAACATTTCATAACAAAAAGTTATTTATAGCTTTGAATGAACTGCTATATTCACTGTGAAAAATAATCAAAATAATCAGTAACACCAGGAATTGTGAAGATTTCGTTATTTACAAGTTTCACTTGCTTTATAAATTAATTTGATTTAATTGGTATCTCCTTATGAAAAAATAAATCCCTGAAATCTGGACGCTGTATATGGATTTATAAAGTATGCGGGATGCTTATTTTTGGATACTAACTAAAAGTCGTTGTTTGGGGTACCTAATTTTGGTTCGACATTAAATGCAATTAGATTCTTAAAGTTGTTATGAAATCTGTTTTTTTTTTAAAAAAAAAATTAAACACTTGCGAAGATTATAAACAATTGTCCATTATTCAGATAAACCTCAGTTCTAAGGCTTGCTTAAATTCGTCTGAATTTGGATGTTTTTTTGGTTATACAGTATTAATAAAATCAGCTTCTAATTTTTGAGTAAATTGTTCTATAACAAATTTACTACAATTTTTCAGTTTGACATCCTATAAAGTATGCTAATGAATAGAATTCCTACTAATTATAATTTAAGTAGTTGTTCATTAAATTCTAAAAAATATACAAGAAGCAAGAATTTCTCTAGATTTCTCTCCATTAAAATTTTTTTTAACCGTCGGCGGGAGAGCTAAGAGCAATAGGGATGCCGGTTTAGAACAGGACAGTAAACGATATAAGTCAAGGATATAGTAGATAAATGTGTGAGTTTATAAAACTATGGGTATTAGAGACTTGTAAATATATATGTATGTATGTAGAGTCAGTATAGCATGCGCACAGTGCAGTATAGTGTAAGTTGACAGTGAGATAATAAGATAGAAATAAGAATACGATGCAAACAAGATACATAAGTCTTTATTTACAAAGGAGGAATCACTCAGATAAATCCTGAAGATAAAAGCAAGGCGAATACATTGGGTTTTTATACATGTCGACTACTTAGAATCCCCCATACACACATCGGGTCAACTTCCTTCCGTCAAACAATACGGATTACAAAGATTCTATTGATTCAACGCCAATTACACTTTTCCCTCGCGTCTTTATCTAATTAAAGACTTACATCCGAAACTTTAATCTCTTCATCAGGCTAGCAGATTATTGATAATAAGCGAAAGCCTAATTGTTCAACGATACTTAATATTGTTCATGGAACGAACTTTTGTACTTTTACGCGTCACGGATATGAGTATCTAAAATAGTAATAAGATAGATATATAGAAGGACAATTAAGGAAAGGGGGATAACTATATATAGTAACAAGAAACAACTATATATGGTAATAACGTAGGATATGTATAAATGCTATAATTTAGGAAGGATGAGCGATGATCATATGGGGCGGTTTAAAGAGGACGATTGAATTATGATAATGTAGGGGCCGTGAGTACTTGATTAAGGGAACAGGATAATGAAGGGAATAATGATAATAAGAAATTTTAGGTGCAGAAGAGTTACGATAGACACCGTGAAGTTTAAGTCATTCACATTAGCAATTCCATGAGTAAACTTTTTTACTTGTTCAACGTTTGTATACGTATTATAATCTTTTTTTGTTTCTGAAAATGGAAGACTTTTTAGTTTCATACAATCCTACTTCATTAAAATTGTAACAGCTCTCTCTCTCTATAAACGATTAGAGACAGGATAGTGTACAAAGAAAATGAAGTAGATAATTTTATGAATACTCTTCAGAATGCAAAAAATTCTATTGCTATGGAAGATAGTGAACGATTAGAAACATTTAATCGTTTTGGAACTGGTAACACATTGAAGAAACGTGTAAGTAACCATATTTTTTTCTGCGAACTGAAACAAATTCCAATTTGGTGAATATGAAGTGTATGGTGTCACGCAATCAGTTAGCCATGTTACGCCTCCGCATTGTGGGCTCGTAGTGCAGCTGATTTCGTGAATTATCACCTATCGCTATACGAATACTACTGAAATTACTTCTTATGCTGGCATTCTTGATTCCATATAATGCAACTGTTATCAATTGGATTCTATTCGTAGACATAGGTAACGGATTTTATATAGTTATTGCATACGGGAACATTTTTATTCAATGATTTACTATCTCAGTTTATGAAATAAGATCAATAATTTTATCACATAAAAAGTACCATAAAATAATTGATTTATTTGAGAATTTTGCATAGTATAGGTGGGCAATATAGAATTATTATAAGATTATAATATATAAAAGTAAATATATGAACTATATAATTTATTAATAGTTAGGGTTAGGGTGAGGGTTATAATTTAAATTAAGGTTAGTTTAAGGTTAGGGTTAGAGTTAGAATTTTTATATATGAGTGTGTGAGAGTGAAAACCTGGAACTGCATATAATGATTTACTATGATAAGTTCCAGGTTTTCACTCTCACGCA